ACACCCAGGGCCCCGGATCCCTGAAATGGGCATGAAGAAAGCCACAACGTGGCCTGGCCACTCCTCAGATCCAGAGCACCTGCTGACCAGAGTGGCCCTGTTGCCTGACAAGGACACCCTCTGGTCCTCCAGCCAGGCCTGGTGAGGCTCCTGGGGGCTCAGCTGGGCTGGGTCTGACCTAAGACCTTGGGTACAGTACTTCCTCTCTCTGGTCCCCTGGTTGCCATGCTGGCCAGAGCCCATGGGACACAATGAAGTCACGGCTTCTGTCTCGGGCAGGCACAGCCCAAGAGGGCCACCTGTGGGCCAGACTCAGTCTACACCACCTGTGGACCCACCTCGCAGGCAGCCACAGGGAGGCCCCATGATCCATTGGGCCCCAGGGCCTCAGGCTTCTCTCTGAGGCCACCTGGATCCATGGGAGACCAGCGGGCAGCTCAGGCCAGGCAGGGCTGAGTGACGTCCCAGCAGGAGGGAGGGCAGCAGCTTCCTTCCTGAGCCCCTTCACCACAGTCGGCCTGGTGGAGGGGCCTGGGCTCCAGTGGTGGGGCTGAGCCTGTGGCTGCTGACACCTGGCCAGTGCCCAGTCTCCCTGAGCGGTTTCCCCCCTGGCCAATTCAACCTCTGGCAGAGGTGACCCACCCCCAAGGGAGGACCCTTATTGTTCATCCTGGGGCAACCCTGCCCCCACCTTGGTTGACAGCTGGGGTATGGCCCTGAGAGGGGTTTCCTGCAGTGCCAGGCCCAGGGGAGGGCAGTGACCAGTGACGGAGAAGCAGGCCCGACCCTCCCCTGCATGGCCATGCCTGTCAGAGCCCCAGGAAGGGCAAGGAGTGGGGCTCAGTTAGGTAGAGAAACCTGGACGTCCCTCCGGCTGCCTGCAAGGTCCATGCTGTGTGCAGGCACCCCCACCAGAGGCCTGCAGAGGAAAGGCCCACGGAGGAATCGAGGCCCAGGACCKCCTGGGCCTGCACCCAAGCCTGGGCCAGGGGCCGGGGATAAACAGGGACCGCCAGGCTTCTGTCTACCTGTGGGCAGGGGCCAGGTCTGCTGACACTCCCTGATGCTGGCCCCAGGTCTCAGGCCCAGCAGCTCCTGAACACTGCCCTCACGGAGGCCCTGTGTGGTGCCAAGTGTCCTCACACCCAGACACTTAGGCCCGTGGGCCACCCCAGCTGGGGCTCAAGCCTGGACTGAGGATCAAATGGGTGAGTGCCTGGCCTGCCCAGGGCGCTGCCCAGGGCGCTGCCCAGCCTACCAGGAAGTCCTGTGTGACCAGGCGTGTCCTGGTCTTCTCAGGGCACCTGGGCCCATGGGGGCCTGGGTGCCCAGGTTGTGGGTGGCTCCTGGGGCCCTAGGGTCACTTCCCTCCCGTGCAGCCGCAGCGCCAGAGCCCGGCCAAGCCTTAGCTCTCGTCTCTGGAGCTGCCTCAGAGAAGAGGAACAGAGGCCCTGGCAGCTGCAGGCGGCCAGTTTTGGAGACAGAAGTCGATGTCCCAGCCCCCCTCTTTGGGAAGCCGAGCTGGCCTCTGGCCCAGTGGGTGAGCAGGCCAGGAGAGGCAGACACGGATGGTGGCCTCACTACCTCGAGGACACAGGGCAGACCGGGGCATGTCAGCCTTGGCTCATCCTGTGACCTGCTTGGGGCCTGGCTGTGAGCAAGACAACCCCGTGGGACAGCCTGTGAACACCCAGGACACCACACCCCTGCCATCAGGGCCCAGAGGGTTCCCAGAGCTGACCAGTGGTTCTGCAGGAGACTTTTACGTGCTAAGTCAGCGAACCTGACTAAAGATATGAAGACATGTGGTGGTGGGGGCCCAGGCCAGCAGAGGATGATCGGGGCCACCTGGTCAGGCCTGAGCGAGGACAGCGTGTGGGCCCGGGCAGAGGGGAGCTCAGGCCTGGCAGTCTCTCCTGGGGGTGGGAGAGGAAGCAGGGGAGAAACCAGGGCAGCCTGCAGATGGACGGTCCTCACTCTGGGGCGGCCTGCCTTCTCTGCTGCAGCTCCAGAGGTGTCCTCAGGGACAACAGTGCTGGCCTCAGGGAGGTGTGGGCTTCTGCTTGTGACAACAGACCATCCTGGCCCCCAGAAGCCCTGGGTCTGAGGAATCACTCTCCGAGACCCTAACCCCAGGCTGGAGAGTCAGGATGAGTCCAGTGAGCAGCAGGTCCTGCCCCCAGCAGCAGGCGTCCCCCACACACCCAGGACCTGCAGAGTCAGCAGGACCCTTGCCCTCCACCTGGCCTCCTGCACTGAGTGGGAGGAGGCTGGGCACCCAGATCTGACAGGCACTGGCCAGCCTGCTGCATGCCCTGAGGTGTGAGCAAGACAGGGGTCCACATACCATCGCCTGGGCCTGGGTGGCCAAGGGCAGTGCTGTCCTGGAGACTGCTCAGTCCATGAAGAAGGGGCTAGACACCCCCAGCCAGCCCCCGCCCAGGAGCCTGGAGAAACTGAATCGGGGTCTGCTGGGCCCTCTCTCCAGGGAGTGGCCAGACCTCAGGGCCTGGGGCAGGAGAGGCTCAAGTCCACCCCAGCATGAGATACCTACAGCCTGGCAGAGCCCAGGGGGGGGCTCTGGGGAAGGGGGGTGAAGACTCCACACCCAGGACCTGGGAGCAGGGGTGAGCCAACACTCTGCCCTCCAAGTGGCCCTGGAGGCAGAAGCAGCAGCAGCCCTGCCAGGGTGTGTCCTGTGGGCTGCCTCTGCGAGGGCCACGGGGACCCTGGAAGGTCCAGCCTCCACACCACTGGAGCAGGCGAAGCTGCAGGAGCAGGGCCTGCTGAGGAAACCTGGCCATGGGACTGCCTGAAGGGGGTCTTGAGACTGGCCCTGGCCCTGACACCCAGCCTCCGTGGCCCCTCCTGGCCCTGCCTCCCAGCCTCCCTGGCCCCTCCTGGCCCTGCCTCCCAGGCTCCCTGGCCCCTCCTGGCCCTGCCTCCCAGGCTCCCTGGCCCCTCCTGGCCCTGACACCCAGCCTCCCTGGCCCCTCCTGGCTCTGCCTCCCAGGCTCCCTGGCCCCTCCTGGCCCTGCCTCCAGCCTCTGCCTCCATGAAGCACAAGGGCTGCGTGCGTGCTCCCCACGTGATGTGCTCCCAGCGTGACATGCCACAACACCACCGGCCCAGAGCTGTGGGCTGAGCACCAGGCAGGCACCACACCTCCGACACGACACCCAGGACAAACCTTTCCTCCTCTCCAGTGAACCTCACATCTGTGTCAGCGACAGAAAGCCGACACTGTGAATTCCTGGCACCCCCAAGAAGGACAGCCCCAGGACTTGGGACTCAGTGGGGTGCCTTCGGCCAGCAGTGGTGCCCAGCCCTGCAAACAGCCACAGTGGAAGGGTGAGGAGGGCCTGGCGGTGCCACAGGCTCCTCAGCATGCCACCCCTGGGCTAGGCGGCCAAGATCCAGGAGCCTGCACCCACACCCTTGCCACCCAGGGTACTGGCACTGCCCCCACTCGGAGCATGGGGGGGCTACCACAGTTTGACAAACAGGTTCCTGACTCTCTGGGCCTTGGTGTCCCCTAGGACAACCCGGGAGTCCCTGCCTGGTGGAGCTACTGACACCCATGGCGTCCAGCCAAGGAGTGGGCAGACAGCAGCACCCCAGGCCCCGTGACCAGGATGCACACAGGACTGTGGGTGGGGGTGGGGAGGTGGGCCTAGCAGAGCTGACGTCCATTTTCCTCTCATCCCAGAGGGTCCCAGGCAGGCTGGACCCGAGGTGGCTTGGCCTTCCACTCTGGGGTTGCCCAGGCCTGGCACATTCCTGCAGAGACTGGGAACCCCCTGCTGGGCAGTGGCCTATGGCAAGCTATGTGCTGCCCATGACTATGCTCCCCACCCAACCTGTGGAGTGCTAGGACACTGCCCGCCAGCACTGGTGTGTGGCACAAGGCCGCTATGCGAAGCCCCCACAAGCTCTGCTCACCTGACCTCTGTGCTGAGCAAGCCGACCAGCACCACCCTCCATGAACATTTTGTCCTGGACCTGGGTCAGCCTCCAAAATGCCACCATGCTCCCACGGCCCTGCTGGGCCCCCACAACACTCCCACCATCACAGCCCAAGATCTTCCTGCCAGGACCAGCAAAGGTGAGCTCCCTGAGGATTATCCAGTGGTCAGATGGGTGGACAGATGCATGGATGCGCAGAAATGAAGGGAAGGGGAAGTAGGTGGATACATGAATAGGAGGGCACCCTCAGCTAGCAGGTGGAGAGACCTGGCCCATGGTGACCAAAGGGTCACTGTCACCAGGGTGGCTGTGGAACTGTCCCCACCAGGGGCATTTACACCAGGAAACCCCTGAGTGCTCCACCGAGCCCCACCCTAGGGTGGTGCTGTCTGAAGACCCCATTCTGGTGTGTGCAGGAGGGGTGCGTTAACTGAAGAACCTCTGCTCCCCAGCAGGCTCAGGGAGGGCTGACCAGGTCCAGGCTGTGGAGCGAGTCCAGACACACCATACCTGACCCATTCCACACCTGGACGTGGCCCACTCCCACTGGTCCCTCCCCACACCTGTCAGCCCAGTGCCCAACCACTGGGGGCTGCCTCTCTGTCAGCATCTGACCTCACGACCCCAGACCTGTCATCTGCACACACCAGCACTTGCCTGACACCTCCTATCCCTCCCACAAACTCCTACTAGCCCCAGACACAAGGCAGCACAGACCTCTCCCTCTCCACACCTGAGTGACCATCTCCATCTCTCACCCAGCTGGGCCTCCTAGAGGTCAGAGGCCATTCCCAGGCATGGCCTTCAGGCTGACAGCAACACTGTCCTCTCACTAGCCCTGCTGGACCAACCTGCCCCCAGCATGCTGGTGCACAGAATGGGATGACACCCAGGGCCAGCACCACATGCAGGACCCCTGGCCTGAGGGCGGGGACACTAGGAAGAGGCAGTCTGGGCCCCTCCTCTCAGAGCTCCCCCCTCCACCAAACACCCAGCCCAATCAACACAGGGCATCCAATCCATTATGTACAAAAAAAAAATTTTTAATTGAAATACCTGTATAAAAAATATGATCTCCAGACATCTCACTTTCCCGATGCCTACTCACACCGGGGTCACAGAAACACGGCTGCTAAAATAAATTAAGGGCTTGAGACTCTGGCCCCCCACCCCCAGCCTTCAGAGCCAGCAAGCAGACTGTACAAGGTCAATAATTTAAAACCCACCCCCGGGGCAGAGTGCCCAAGGTGGGAGAATCACCCACTCCCCTTAAGTTAGCCACTGTACAAGTTCCTCCTCCTACAGACACGGTGGGTCTGGGGACCAACTCCAGGTGCAGGAATAGAACCAGGGTCAGGGACACACAGCCTCCCTCAACCTGCCTACCCCTGGCCATCCCAGGGGCTTGGAGGACTGCTCAGAGGAAGTAACCTCAACAAATAAATTAAAGAATAAATAGCCCAGCGGGCAGGGGCACCCTCCAGGGGGTCACACCATAAATAACTGACATTGGCACGCGTGGACACAGCTCGGTGGGGCAGTGGGCAGCAGAGGCCCGACGTTGCATTGCTTGTGCAGGGACATGCCCAGATGAACACCATGAGACTGGAGACAAGGAGGTGGGCTCTCCAGATCAGACACCATCAGATGGAAAGACTGCCCCCCCGCAACGGGGCAGTAGGGTGGGAGAAGTCTCTGGTTCAAGTATCCACCCAGGGCAGGTGGGACCTTGCTTTGCCCCGAGCCATCTTTGGACAGAAGAGCTCGAGAAAACCCAGTCCCAGGGAGCAGCGTTCAAAAAGGCACTCAAAGCAAAGGAAACCGCCCGGTGCCAAGGGCAAAGGTCACCAGGGATCAGAGGTCACTGCTTTTGCAGGAGACAGCCCAGGCAGAAGAGAAGTCAGTATTCTGGGAGGTTGGCTCAGCCCAGCCCAGACCCCCAGCAGCAAGTCCAGGCTCCTCCTCATAAGCTCTCACTGCTGGATGTGGTGCTGGCCCCATCGTCAGTGTCCAGGGAACAAAGCTGCAGGTCACAGTTCTCAGGGGCACCCTCCTCTCCCCCCAGCATCCAGGGGTGGGCAGCAATCTGGTCCAGCGAGGGCCTCTCGGAGGGCCGCAGGGATAGACACCACTCAATGAGCTGCTGGCACTCTGTGGGGGAGGGGACAGCATCAGGAGGGGCTCAACTCCCAGCCCCTCCCCACAGCAAGATGCACAGCTACACACCTGGGGAGACCCTCCTCCGGAAGAACAGGCGGCCACGGAGGATCTCCTCGTCCTGCTCAAAGGGGATATCGCCACACACCATATCGTAGAGCAGCACACCAAGGGACCACACGGTAGCAGAGCGCCCGTGGTAGCGATGGTAGCGGATCCACTCTGGGGGGCTGTACACCCGGGTGCCTGAGAGGACACACAGGGTCAGTGCTCCCGCTAATTAGTCCTAGCCTGGCCTCAAAATCCCGCATGTCATCAAGCTGGAAACACCCCGTGGGCCTGCCCACCGCGGAGGGGCCGGCAGGGAGGGGCCAGCACGCCCCCAGCTGGACCCACTGCGGAGGAGCGCGTCACATGAGCCAGAGCTCCAGTTTCACAACAAACAGATGCGACGGGAGTGGCCTCCCGGCTAGGTCCCGCCCCAGCCCACGACGAGTCTGCCTGCGGGGAGGGGAGGGCCAGGAGGCGGGGAGCCCGGGCTTCCCCGCGCTCCGCAATGCGGGGATTTCTGCCGCGGCGCCCCCGCGCTCTGCACGCACGCAGGGAGTCCCACGAGCGCCGCCCAGGCTCCGGGAGGGGGGGCGGCAGTATGGAACAGAAGACTGCGCCCTGCGTCATGCGCGCACCGTGGGGTTCCCAGGCTGTCACCCCAGTTCCCTAATAGAGATCCCAGCGCCCCAACGCGGCTGAGGGGACAGCCCAGGCGCTCCCCCGCCCCCACCCCCGCAAATCCGGTGGGGCGCGCGGCGGCTCAACAGTCGCCGGAACGCGGCCTCCGCGACGCTCACCGTCAAAGTCGGTGTAGACCGTGTCCTTAAGCAGCGCTCCTGAGCCAAAGTCGATGAGCTTGAGCTCGCCCGAGCGCAGGTCCACCAGCAGGTTTTCGTCCTTTATATCGCGGTGCACCACCCCGCAGCCGTGGCAGTGGCGCACCGCGGCCAGCACCTGCGCGAAGAAGCGGCGCGCCAGCGGCTCGTCTAGGGCACCGCGCTCCGTGATGAAGTCGAAGAGGTCCTGTGCCGGCTCGGGCCGCTCCAGCACCAGCAAGAAGCCGTCGGGCCGCTCGAACCAGTCCAACAGGCGGATGACGCCTCGCGCGCCGCCCGCCGCGCCCACCTTGCGCAGCAGCACCACCTCCAGGGGCACGGCCGCACCGCCCTAGGGGACAAGGCGGTCAGCGCACAAAGCCCAGGCGCGGCGGCACCCGCCCCGCGCCCGCCGGTCCATCCGTCCCGCGCCCGCGGACTTACGAGGCTGCCCCACTCCGTCACTCGCTCCTTCACCACGTGCTTCACGGCCACCTGCGAAGGGGACGTGAGCGGTCAGTACCGGCAGCGGAATCGCGGAGCGGGAGAACCCGGGTCCGCCCGGCAGCCTACTCACTGGGAGTCCGTCGGCAATGCGACTGCCTGCGTAGACCGTGCCGAAGCCACCGCTGCCCAGCACGGCGCCCACCTGGTACACCTTCTCGAAGCTCTCCTTGTCCGCCTTGGCTGTGGGGACGCGCGGGCGGGTTGGTGCGGGCTAGGGCGCGCCCCTGCCCCCGCCCCGGCCCGCCCGGCGCCCGCGCGCGTACCTGGCTGTAGGATCTTCACTGGGAGGTGGTCCACGCCACCGGGCCCGCAGAGGTGCGCCARGGAGCCGAACTTGGAGAGCAGCATCGCGGGCGGCCTCGCGCTCTGCGCCGCCTCTCACCGGGCCGGCGCGGACGCGGGAGGGCGGCCTCCCGGGCCGCAGCAGCCTGGCGGATCGGGCGGGCGCGCCGCACACCGGCCCTGGGGGCCCGAGGCCGGCGCTCGGCGAGGCGGGCCGCGCGGAGACCGCGTAGACGCGCAGCAGGCCGAGCGGCTCACACGCCCCGGCCGCTTCGCCCCGGGGTTTTGGGCCGCGGCGGCGCGTATCCCTCCGCGGGGGCGGGACCGGCAGAGGCCCCGCCCCCTTCCGCTCGCGGCCCGCGCGGCGCTGCAGCCCGGAACCTGCCGGCGTGACGCCCGGGCAGCCGGGCGACGCCTGCCCGGTAGACCAGGGCCGCGCAACGGGCGGGGCGCGGCGATCTGACGGGACTAGCTTGCCGTAGTGGCGTCGCGGAGGCGCACGGCGTGCAGCGGCTCCCTGCCGCGCGCTTGCTCGCTCCGCGCACGCGCAGCTCGCGAGCGGGCGGTGGCAGCGCATCTCGGGAGGGGCCGCGGGAGCCAATAAGAATTGGGGTTTTGAAAGGACACCGGGACCCCAGCCAGTGGCGGCGGGGGGCGGGGCTTTCCGGCTCCGCCTACAGGCGGCACCGAGGAAGGTCACCCGCCTGGCCGMTGAGACACGCGTCCCCCCCCCCCCGCTGGGCCCCGCGTGGGTGTCCCGAGAGCGAGTAGGGCAGTGGGTACCGGGCCCCGCTGATAAGAGAAGTCCTCGAAGAGCCCCCGCGGTACCCCAGGCCTTGTGTGACTTACACTGTGCGTGTATGTCACTGGCGCCTTGCGCACCCCAGTTCGCGTTTTACCCGGTATGGGGAGAACCCCCCTGCTGCCGCTCCGCGGCGACCCAGTCCCCGCCTTGCCCAGGGCGCCACCTCTTCTCGCTGTTTCAGACCTCACCACCATGGCCCCAGGCCCTCCAGAACATGCCTGCCCTCCTTTGCCCTGCCAACCTGTGCCTGGAGGGCTCTCATTTTGCCCCCATCTTCTTGGCATCGCCCTGGCGGCTGTTCTCCTGGACCAGGGGGTCCTCCCCGCCTGCAGCGGTGGCTGTGCTCGGGCCCTGGTCCACATGATCCTGGTCGGGACCTGAGCCTACCCATTCCCTTTTCTGTTTCTTGTCCAGACCCCAGACTCTCCAGGGTTGATATAATCCTACAGGTTGCTGCTCTCTGTCCAGTCCAGAGTCACTGACCTAGGAGCAACTCAGGACTCTGGGTGTGAGTGGCCATCTGCCAGCTCCCCCTGGCCCCAAGAGTGAGTTAAGGGCTGTGGGACCAAAGGGACCCTTGTCAGGTGCTCCCAGTAAGTGTCCAGGCAGGGATCCAAGCATGGTGGGGCTGTTCCTAGCCCCCTGGTGTGACCCTGCACACACCTATCTTGGGCTTCCCTCAGCACCTCCAGCTGCCCAAGCCTGGCTGCCATCCTTCACCAGCACTGGCACTTTCCTTCCACTGATGCCAGTGACCCCGACCCCAGCCTTTCTCAGGGTCCTGTAGCCTTSCGCTAGCAGAGGGCCAGCTCAAGACCCTCTGTGACTCAGAAGCCCCTGTGTAGCTCTCACCCCATCTGCCCAGAGCTGGGGACCCAGCCTTGCTGGTCTCTTCCTGCTCTTGGGGCCTGTGGTCCTCCCTCCTTTCCCTAGGAGCTCTGACTGGCCTTTTTCTGTAGTGTGGCCCATGAGGGCAGGGCCAGGGCTGGCCATTTAAACCATGGCCTCCCATGCCAGCCAGCACAGGGCCCCCCCACAGGGTTAAGTCCCAGGTAGGGTGCCCAAGCCCATCTCTCTGCAGACTGCCCAATACCTGCAAGGCAGGAGGGGCTGTGGCCCACTGCGGGTCCTTAGAGAGGACAGGCTGAGGCTCCCTCCCCTATGACAGGACAGCAGGCTATCCTGGACCTTGACCTTCAGACCTGGGAGGGTGGGAGTGCTGGAGAACAGTCTGGGATCCGGCTGGTGGCCACRGCAGATCCTGATGGAGGGGTCAGCACCTGGGAGGAGCTGCGTCCCTGGTCCCTTCACAGTGGACCACTATCCACTGTGTGAGTCTCCAGGCCAGTGCCCCCACCCCATCCTAGCTGTGACCCAGGCTGGTCTCTGAGAGTCAGCTTGGGGAGACCAGAATCTGGGGTGATGTTAGAGTTTAGATGTGAGGCGTCCCCCAGAAGCTCCTGTGTGAGACAGTGCAAAAGAGTTTAGAAGACAATTGGTGGGTGACCAGGACCTTTCCCCAGTTAGCCTCCATCCTCTGCCGAGGATCACCTGGGAGTAACCCTGGGGAGGTAGGGTGTGGCTGGGACGTGCCCTTGGGGTGTGGTCCCAGGTCAGGGGAGCGCACCCTCTCCCCCCACCGCTCTCCTTCCCTCCCTTTCTCTCTCTCTTTCTACCCCCCCCCCCGTCCGCCCCCACCCCTCTCTGCTTCTTGGTGGCTGTGTCCTGAGCTTCCTTCCTACCCGACTCTTGTGCCATGATGGAGGGATCTGCCATCTGTGGACTGAGACCTCTGAACCTGTGCCAATAGACTTTTTTTTCCTCTGAAATTGTTCTTGTCAGGTCTTTTGGTCACAGCAGAAAAAAAAAAAAATCTGACTGAAACAGGAAGGTAACCTCCCCTGTGAACGCTCCAGGTCTCCCCAAACTAACAGGGCAGCGTGGGCCCAGCTGCCCACTGCCCCTTCTYCCCTTCACTTAAAAGGTGGGCCTCCTGCACAGCACCTCTGGTGCAAGACTCCAGAGGGCTCTAGGAGTGGGGAGGGGTCTTGCAGCCTGGTCCCAGAGGGTCCCAGCCTGGTCCTGGAGGCAAACAGAAGGCAGCCTTTCCTGGGGTGGTGGCTCCCCTAGCCCTTCATCTCTCCCAGCAGAGGTGTGTGCTGTGGGTCCACTGTTTCACACGCCTGTGTGGGGTGTGGCCTCATCTGGACTCAGAATGGACCCTCGTCCCCACCTGCCAGGGGCTGCCCATCCAACATCAGGCCTCCTTCCTACTCCATTTCTGGTCTAAGGAGTGGGCTGTGGGGGACCTCGTGGTTTTGCCTGTGTGGCCATCGAAGACACCATGACTGGGGCAGAGCACTGGGGACCCCTGTGTCTGGCCCGGCCCCTACTCAGGGCTGGGCATGGTCTGTTCCACTTCTCAGCTTGGCAAACAGAGGCTCTGCCTTCTTGTTCAGGGAGCCAGGCTCAGTCTCAGAGGTGTGTGGGTGGGCTTTTACCCTGGACTTGGCCCCTGGGGGATGACCTAGGTCACGCCTGCCCCTGAGGTCCCTCCTGGCCAAGGCCCACACAGAGCCAAGTACCAGTCCCCACCTGTGTTTTCCTGGTCCCTGGAAGGCCTATCCAGTGGTCCTTAAAAATAGCTCTGGGCCCATGAGCAGGTGTGGCCCCCGGGCACAGAGCTGGGGCTCTCCAACAGGCAGAGAGGCCAGCAGGGCCCGTGCTGCACGGGAGCCCCATTGGACGTCCTGCTGAGAGGGGCAGCCTCACAGAGAACCTGGGGCCTCCACCTGCCTGTCCCCAAAGCAAGCATTTCYGCAGAAGGGGGCTTGAGGAGCAGGGCAGATGCTGCCTCTGGGGACCCTGCTGCACCCCAGCTCACGGCATCCTTGCCTTGCAGTGGTGTGGACACCATGCACAGTCAGTCCCACAGGTCACCCTGTCCTGCTGTTGCTGTGGTGACAGGAGCCAGGTTGGCCTCCCTGGATTGGGGAAGAAGGGAGGGTGGGATGGAGGGCAGCCCCAGATCCTCTTAGTCTCTCTCTCTTTCTTTTATTTTTTTAGAGAGAGAGAATTTTAATATTTATTTTTTAGTTTTCGGTGGACACAACATCTTTGTATGTGGTGCTGAGGATCCAACCTGAGCTGCACGCATGCCAGGCGAGCGCGCCACCGCTTGAGCCACACCCCCAGCCCCAGTCTCTCTCTCTCTCTCACACACACACACACACACACACACACACACGTGCGTGCACACACGTCCCCACTCACACACACAGGTACTCTTGCTCAAGACAACTTGGGAACACACAGAGTTCACGCTCGGCTGGGCGTCACAGAGGGGACCGTGGGGTGAGTACACTCTCCCAGCTACCCTTCTCTGTCCTGTGTCCTTTAGACATTGTGGGCCCTCTTCCCCCTTCCCTGGGGTCTGTCCACCCCAGTCCCCCGCCAGTGACGGGGTCTCCTTAATCTGTGTCCAGCTGCCCCTGGACGGACCACAGGCTACCCCACACTGTCATGGCCATCTTTGACATCTCTCCACTGGGTCTGTGTCCAGTTTCTCACTGCCCCTCCCCCACCAAGGCCTGTGGCTGTGTCACCCCTCACGCCTCCTTCCCCAGGGCCCCCTTTGTTCTCTTCCAGCCTGGTTTGGGCTCCAGTATGTGCCCCCTCAGCTATCAGGGTCAGTCCCAGTGACAGTCAGGCAGAGTAGGACACCAAGCACCCTGACCTGGGTTTCCCTGGCAGGATTCCTGGCCTGGCCTGGGCTGATTCCTCCACAGCCCTCCAGGCCCAGTTGGCACTGGTTCCACACCTTGGCCCCTGGTGCTCCAGGCTGGGCACTGTGTAGTCTAACCCCTCCTGAGCGTGGCCCTGACCAGCTGGGTCAGCACCATGCAGGCCCACTGCACACCCTGTGCGGGCACCCAGGGTGGCTGCCGGGTGACGTGACTGGGAGTGGTACTCTCAGGACACAGAGGGAACAGGTGGCACCCTTTCCCCTCCTGCCTCCACACTCCTTGGCACAGCCGCTCACCCGGCGTGGAGAAGAGCTGGAGAGGCTGGTCGGGTTTTGCAACAGTTCCCAGAGGCATGGGAGTGCTGGGAGAGGGCTCAGTAGGCACTGGGAAGGCAGCCTGCGTGAACTCTGGCCCAGCTGTGGCCCTTCTTCCAGCCCGTGCCAGAGGCTGCTGTGCCACCTCCCTGCCAGCTGAGGCCACGTAGGGTTGGAAGCTGTTGCTCCCTGGGTGTTACCCTGCTGCCATTGAGCGGTGCTCACCCCAAGCCACCCTTTAGCCTGAGCCTGTATGTGTGGATGGCCACCTGTCCTCACCTGATCCTGCCAAGCAGGGTGCCATGGAATATCCAGGCTCAAACAGGGTCCCTGACAGCCGAGTGGGCAAGGTGACCCAGCTGGACTCAGCAGCCCGGAGAGCTGCAGCCAAGCTGGGGCAGCTTGAACCGGGACTGCAAGGGCCCTGTGGCAGCAGACCTGAACTGGGCATGGGGTGGGGCAGGTGCTTCTCCATCAAGCACTGTGGCCTCTGGTTAGGGCCAGGCTACCTGCAGCTTTGGGCTGGACCACATTGGGCCACCTGGGTCAGCACCTCCTGCGGTGCCTTCCCTGGCTCACCTTTGGGGAACATCCCCTGATCCCAGCATGGGGATGGGTTCCCTCTGCCCAGGCCCTACTCATGACCCAGCTAAGGCCTCGACCTGCCACGGACCTGGCCTCGAAGGGCAGCTCGTCCCCAGCCCCTCCCATCCTTCATCTCCCTGTCTGCAGAATGGGGCCTGGGCAAGCCTGTGGCTGACAGGCACTTCCACCGCACACAATAGGTGCCTCATAGGTGTGGCTAAGGAGGATGTAGCTGTCACTGCAGGCACAGACCCCAGAACTTCATCAATAGAGTCCTGTGGCTTCCTAGGACAAGTTGGCCTCAGGGCCCAACATGCCCCAGTCACCTCTAGGGGAGATGCTCAAGGCCAGGGAGCTACGACTGGTGGGAGCCAGGGTAATTCCTCCTACTTGTTCTACAGGGTCCACAGGGGCTGAGCTGCAGGGTGCCTCTGCTGACACACCCTGACCCCTGGAGTGGCTGAGACTCCAGGTGCCACAGCAGCAAATCCCCAGGGATCCAGAAGGGTTTGCATGTGGCCCCAGGGGAGCTCAGAGCCTGCAGGCCCAAGTAGGCAGGAGCATAGCTCCCCTCACTGGGGGGGGGGGCTCCTGGGAGGGGAAACCTAGCTTTCCTGAGTCTCCAAGTTTGGGTAGAAGAGGGGGCAGGTGGGGGCAAAGAACTTCACAGAGGCCCAGCACCTGGCTAGGGCTGGCTGGGGCCATAACTGGCCAAGGGTTGGGATCAGGGCTGTGCAGTTTGGAGCCAATCAGGTGGTTTCCCAGGGGGGTAGGGGCTCATGACCTGAGTCCTAGCGGCTTCCGGAACCCTGAGCCTGGAACTTGCAGCAGCAGTGATGAGAAGTTCTGAAGCTGCTGTGGATGGTCCTAGGACTGGCCCCAGGTGCTGCCTGGACCACAGCAGGTCACAAAGGAACCCCTCTCTTGGTGAACCCCAGGAATCACGGCCTCAGCAAACATTCCCCCAAATGTGGGCTTGGACGTGATTATGACCTTGGATGTGCACGTTTGGTGAGCACTTTGCTGCATACCTGCCTGGGCTGCCCATGTCAGCCCCGGGGGGCACTGTTGTCACACCCCCTTGTGCATGTGGTCAGAGACAGCAGTGACCTTGGCAGGAGGAGGAACTTCAGAAGCAGGATGAGACGATGTCTGGCAGCTGGCCCTGCCGTGCACTCAGAGAGGAGTGCTGCTGCCAGAGCATGAACTCTGCCCAAGAACAGGTCAGGCCTGGACAGAGCAAGACAGATAGCAGCTTCAGATGAGGCCCAGCGGGCCCCTCCCTGCCAGCCCACACAGTCTGGGGCTTGCAAGCCTGTGGGTCTCCATCTTTAATGGCTCAGAAATAGGCCGGAGCATGGTGGGGGCAGCCAGTGGTTCTCAGCAAAAACAGGTCTGACCCAGAGTTCTGCTGGAGGAGCACTAGAATAGTGTGTTTTCCCAGAGCTCAGCACCTAGGGGGCACCTGATGCAGGAGGCCCCCTCACCAGGCCCCTCTCTTCTCAGGCCTGCGGGCAGGGACTGGATCCAGCAGCCACAGCCTGGAGCCAGGTCAGGCTGGGGCAGGTCCTGTGGAGGCCAGAAAGCTGATGCTGCCTTCAGGCTGTGCTGTGTTGTTCCCCAGGGAGCCTCCAGCCCCACCTCTGCCAGATGGACCCAGATCTGGCTCCTGGGAGGGGCTCCCGGCAGGCAGTTAGTGGCACCAGGAGCACCTGGGTCCCAGATGCAGCAGCGCATCAGGGGCTGGGGGAAAGAGGAGGCTTGCAGCCAGGGTGCCCGCTCTGGGGCCAGCTGGACGATGTACACACGGCCCAGTGCTCACCTGGGAACAGTTGTGGACACAGGTGCATGGTTCCCTGGGCCCTGGTCCGGACTGAGCAGCCACCAGAGTGCTTGGGATGTCCTCCACACCAGACTGGGTGTCCCAGCTGCTAGCCTGAGAGTACCAAGCACAGCACCTCTCCAGGACACTCCTGGCAGCACAGTTGGCTGGGCTCTGGGCACCCAGAGCCCACAGGGTGTGTGGGGTGAGCTGACCAAGACCTGGAGGCACCCCTCAGAGGCTGGCCTCCCTTCTGGGCTGGCCTGGAGGCCTCTCCGCCCACCCCAGGATGAAGAGCAGAGCTGTGGCAGCCTCCCCACGAAGGGCTCCCTCTGGGGATGTCAGTCAGGGCCCTGCCAAGCTCAGCGGGCAGTTCTTCCTGGCCCTGTCCTGCTTCCCTTGAGCCCCCATGGATCTGTGCGTCCCTGTGCTCTGCCAGAGGCTAAAGGAGGCAGGGCGGGGCTGCCAGAGCTCTGGACTCCTGCTGCCCCAGGAGTGTAGGCTGAAGTCTGCCTTGGGGAGTGCTCAGAGGGGTCCACTGAGGCCTAGGGAGGGAACCTGCCCCAGCCCCATCTCTGACCAAGACTCTGCCAGCCCACTCTGGTCCAGGGTCATGAGGTAGGTCCGGGCAGGGCCTTCAGTTCAGAAGTGGCTGGACTGTGTTCCACCCGCAGGGCCACTTCCCTGTTCTTAGGAAGTGGAGGGGGTGGGCGGAGGAGCCTCCAGGCCAGCCCAGAAGGGAAGCCAGCCTCTGCTGAGGGGTGCCTCCAGGTCTTGGTCAGCTCACCCCACACACCCTGTGGGCTCTGGGTGCCCAGAGCCCAGCCAACTGTGCTGCCAGGAGTGTCCTGGAGAGGTGCTGTGCTTGGTACTCTCAGGCTAGCAGCTGGGACACCCAGTCTGGTGTGGAGGACATCCCAAGCACTCTGGTGGCTGCTCAGTCCGGACCAGGGCCCAGGGAACCATGCACCTGTGTCCACAACTTTTCCCAGGTGAGCACTGGGCCGTGTGTACATCGTCCAGCTGGCCCCAGAGCGGGCACCCTGGCTGCAAGCCTCCTCCTCTTTCCCCCAGCCCCTAACGCACTGCAAAGAGCCAGGCCATCCCAGCCACCTTGGGGTCACCAGGTAAGGGGCACGGCCTCCAGTCTTGCAGCCCTGGACTCCACCTCTCTTCCAGAAAGGAGATGGGTGGCTTCATTTGGGTGGCCAAGGGCTGGACACCTTGGGTCTGGCCAAATGTCCCAGGCCCAGGGAGAGGTCACTCTGTTTTCTCCTCCTACAACTTCAGTGGGGTTTCTGAGTCACAGCAAGGATGGGGCAGGACCTCATGGCCCCCTGTGTGGATCTCTCCACAAGATTCAGGGTCTAGTCCTCTCTTCCTGTGAAATGGTGGCCGGGAGAGCCAGGCTAGGCAGTGACAGGCAGTGAGGGTGTGGGTGGCACTGGCGAGGAAGAAGGGCAGGGCTCTGGCCTGCTGGGGAGGGGGTGCAGACTGGCCTCCTGGCCCCGCATTCCTGGCCAGGCACAGGAAGCCCAGAGCTGAGTCACTGCCCAGACATGGAAAGAATGGTAGGAATTCTGCACTTTCACTCTCTGGCCGGCCTCCCCACCCCCAAGACATTCTCCATCCCAGCTTCCTGCAGGCCCTGGGCCACTTTCCACCCAGCACCCTCTGCCGTTTCTCTGCCTTCTCTGGCCTCGGTGGGTGCTTGGGTCCCAGAGGACTCACTGCCCGAGGCTGTGAGGCCTGGACGAGGCCTGTCCACGGCACACCTGCCCGTGTCCTCGCTGCCTTCTGGAGGCCTCCAAGGACCTGCTGGGGCGGGTGGTGCTGCAGATGTGAGCTGTTTGGGGTTCCCGTGCCCCTGGCTCCTGGGTCAGTGCTGGCTAACTTTGTTGAGCCTGCTGCCCACCTGGCTCACACCTGTCCTGTCTGCCCCTCTGCCTATTCCCCCTCCCAGACCGCCTAGTGCTGTCCCTGGCCGGGGTGTGTTTTCCTGGGATACCAGCCTCTTGGGGAGAGGGTAGGTGGGGGGGGTTGGGCTACAGGTAGACCAGGGCCTAGGGGTTGAGCAGGCCGCCTGCCCCGCACCCAGCCGCAGGGCCACTGCCACCTGAGCAGGCACCTTTCCTCCGAGAGCCCCCCATTTCCTGGGTTCAGGACTGAGCAGTGCCAGGAGGGGGAGAAGGAGAACCCAGGGTCCCTCAGGGTCTGACGGGGCCAGGGCCAGGGGTGATCTGCCCTTTGGAGTCCTGACTGACCGCTGCAGCCCACCTCTGTCTGCGTCTGCTCAGGAGTCCAGGCACACATCCACCAGGTGATGCTGGGAAGGGGCCCCTGTTTGAGATGGGGGCTGCCCAGAGAAAGAGAACCAGCCTTTTGCTCCAGCTGGTCCCTGGGGGAAAGAGCCATCCAGCTGAGCAGGTGGGTCCGGGCCCAGCATCCCCGGGCACAGAGGTGCCCACCTGGCCCACTCCCAGCCACGTCTCTCCAGAATTCCTGCAACCTAGGACAGACGTACCCACRCTGGCGCTTTGCCCAGCAGGGTGGGATGGGCCACCAGGCCCCCCCTCTCTCCTCTCTGTCTTTTGTGCCACGGTCTTGGCCACACCCTCATCTGGGTGACTTTGCCCGAGGCAGTGGGAGGGAAGCCGCTGACTCTTGGTTTCTGGGACGCACCATTTTGGGGTTTCGACCAGGCCCTGGTGTCTCCCAGGTGGGCGAGTCAGCTTCTTTGGGACCCCGGGGCGGAGGCTGCCCAGGGACAGCCAGAATGGCACTCACTCAGCCAGCGCCTGCTGCACCATCCCGACGGCTCCTCGGGCCCTGCCTGTCCCCACCGGCCCGCACCCCTGTCCACTGTCCACGGGGCCCTCCTCACTCCTCACAGCCTCTGGAGCTATCTCTGAAGTGTCCCTGCCCTGCTCACAGACCTTCCCGGCTCCCTGGGTCTCCTCCACTGTCCTCCAACRTGAGGAGCACGGGCTCCCCGGGAGGACCTGTCCTTGCCAGCCCCCAGGATCTCCCACCAATGCTGTTGGCCCACAGGACCTAACGCCTGCTCTTTCCACCCCATCTCAGCCTCAGCCTGGCCGAGAGCCCCTGGGGCTCAGGGCTGGCTGGCAAGCCACGGGGTGGGACTGGGCTCAGGTCTAGGGGTGGGGCCCTTCCAGGTCCTGCGTCAGGGTGGACCACAGCTTGTCGTCGTGGGAGAGCAGTGCAGCAGAGCCCAGCACCAGGTCCATACCCTCAGACCTGCCCACCCGCCCTGGCCCCGTCCTCCTCTGGGTCCTAACTCACAGAGGGGAAACTGAAGCTCAGGAAGGCAAAGTGGCCACAGGGGAGCCAGTTTGGGTGGCCACACCTGAGTCAGTCCAGGACCAGGAGTGAGCAGGTAGGGCAGAGCCCTGGCACTGTGGGACTGGCCTCTCTCTGGGAAAGGTTTACGATCAGGGAGGAGGGCGAGGCCACTGCTGGGGCAGGAGTGTCCGGAGGAGCTGTCCTGGACAGAGGGCTTGGGGTGGGAGGAAGTGGGGCAGTTCAAGGGAAGAAGGAGCCGGTCCAGCTGGGTTAAGGGACTGCAGCTGAGAGTCTGTCTCTGAGACCCTCAGCAGAGGTGACTAGTGGCCTCTGGGGCATGGAGCCTCTCTGTGAGACCTGGGCAGGGGCATGTGGAGCTGACCAAGCTACTTCAGCCTCAGGTAGCCGTCAGACTGGCCTGGCCTCAGCCAGTTCAAGGGCTCTGGAGGGCACTGACGGCTGCCTGTGGGCAGAGCCAGAGGTGGGGCTGTGGAGCTGGGTCTTGGCCTCCCCAGGGACCAGGCCCCAGCCAGGTCTGGCCTCTTAGTGGGGCCTGTTGGCAACCCAGCCGGGTCCTACCCTCTGTGGTCTGTCCACGTCCCCATCAATGCATCTCTGACCTGTGAGGGCGGGTGGGGTGCCTGCTTGGGCCCTGCCCACCTGCCTGCCAGACTCCCTCTGGCCTATCTATCAAGGCTCAGCACCCAGACCTGCCCTGCCACTCCCCGTAAGCGAATACCCCCGCCGGTGGCCACCTGCCCATTATGCTGCCGTAGGTGATGCCCATGACGCAGGCTGTGGCCTCTGTTCCGCCTGCCTCCTGGTGGGCCCCTCCGCAAATCCAGGTGAGCAAGCACAGACACACCCCCACACACCTCCCGCATCTGGTCAGACCAGTTCTGCGCACCTGGCCAGTCCTTCCTCTGCTATGACTCACATGTGTGCCTGCAGTGTCCATGTCCTCACTGTCCTGGTGACCCCCCAGCCACCGTTCCTCACTGGTGAGCTAGGCACTACTGTCCACCTCAAGGCCCTTCGGAGCCTGGGATACACCTCATGGCTGGGGAGGGGAAGGGCTGTCCCTAGACTTCCCAGTGCAGCTGAGTGGCCTTGGAAGTGCACTCACCCGCCACCATCCACACCCCTGCCCCCTGAGGCCCTTCCGGCAAGGGGCCCGGCCAGGCCCTCTTCTCTGAGCTCAGCCCATAGGACCTGAGCAGGGGCTGCAGCAGACCCCTAGTGGGTATGGAGCAGGCCTAGCAGGGCAGCTGCCCCACGGGACCCTCAGCAGCTACAGACAGGGGTGGGGTCTCTGAGCAGGGTTGATGGGTGGGGGCATGGTGGATAGACCAGTGGGGCAGGGCAGCCTGGGATACAATGGGCCCTTGTCCCTCACCAGGCTCCGGGCACCCTGAGCAAACACACACCCTGTTCTTGCCGCACACCGTGTCCCCAGCTGGCCGTGGCTCAGGGCCAGTGGGCAGGGCAGCCCAGTCAGGACGTGCAGCACGAAGGTCCCTGTCCGAAGCCTGCAGACTCCGCGGAGCCCTCCTCGCCACACCTCCTGGGTGCTGGGCGCTCCCCTGCCTAGGCTTCCCGGGGCGGGGGAGGACTCACCACCTCCCCGCAGCCCTGCAGGTTCCTTTGGTGCGGCTGTCTCCACTGGCTCTGGGGACCTGGCCTTAGCCCTGGCTTCCTCTGGAAGTCTCGCGGTGACAGAGGCCAGGCTGCACGGTCCTGGTTCTAGTCCCTGACGAGGACATCCTTCCTGGGTGCCGATGCTGTCTGGGCAGTGAGTGGCAGCCACCGAATGACCTGCCAGGGCTCCTGGCTCCCTCCCCGAGAGCTCTCCATCAGGCTTGTCCCAGAACTGCCCCCAAGGCAGGGTGGCCAGGTCCCCAATCTACACTAGAAAGAGCCCTGGTCAGGAAAGGGGGTCAGGACAGGGACAGGCTCTTCCCCAAGGGCCTGGGCAGGGGCTGTGAAAAGAAGAGGTCCACCAGGGCCGGGCTGCTATTTGGGCCGGTGGGAATCTCAGATTCTGCCCAGCTGGGGGGACAGAGGGCTGGAGGGCAGAGGTCACTGGGCGATGGGCGCAGGGGGTGTTGGGTGGCTTCCACATCCAATGGCCTTCTCTCTGCCTCACGTCACTCCAGCCACAGGAAACACCGCCCGTTTACACTAAGTGACGCGCCCGAGACATCTCACCACCTGGTGACAGTGTACCTGAAATGGACCCAGAGGGTGCCAGGGAGACACGTCAGAGAGCACAGGCCCAGGGCCCAGGCTGGAGGGCACCAGGCCTTGAGGGCTCTGCAGCAGGAGCTGAGGGCCCTCAGGGACCCCCTGGCCACCCTGAGGCACAGATGCTAATGGTAGGGCCCAGGCATGAGAAGGGCTCCAAGGGAGGGCCATGTCACCCTGCCCACAGGGCCGCTCCATGGGTCCCAGAGCTGCCGTCTTTCCCAGGACTGATGGTGGCCAAGCTGGCCGGTCTCATGAAGTGTCAAGTGCTGAGGCAGCCATAGGGTGGGCCCGGTGCTCAGCTTGAGTCCGCCTCATGCTGGCTGGGTGCCTGGACGCTGCACAGGGGCAGGACAGGGTACACTGAGACTCTGTTGAGCCCACAGGAGGACAGAAGAGCCTCTGTCACTCAGTGACCCAGTGCCAGCCACACGAACCACGGAGT